CAAAAAGGGAAACTACTTCCACGTACCTTATAGGATTGTTGCAAGGTTAAAAAGATACAGTAATTGTGGATGGCAGAAATCGAAGATGGTCCCCAAGAGTCCTGCCCCCTGGTGAACAAGCCTGCATAATCCCCTCCCCTTGAGTGTGGGTGGGACCTGGAAATATGACGACACTCATGCCGGTGATCACTGCTACTTTACATAAGACTCTGTCACGGCCGACTGGGGAAGAGACCTTCCCGCTGACTCCTAAGAAGGGACCCGCCATGTTGTGACAGGTCCACACAGCTAGGACCTGAGGGCGGCCTCCAGGAGCTGAGAACCCTCCTGATCCATCAGCCAGCAAGAAAACAGGACTTTAATCCCACAGCTTCGAGGAACTGGATTCTGCCAACCATCTAAATGAGCTTGGCTTAGGCCCCGAGCCTCAGATGAGATCATAGCCCCTGCAGACACCTTGATTTCAGCGTGGCGAGGCCCTGGGCAGAGGGGCCAGGTGCGCTATATGCCTAAGCTTCTGACCTACAGAAACTGCCAGAAAATAAATGGCTGTTGTCGTAAGCTGCTGGGCGCGCGGTAATTCGTCATGCAGCCACCGAAAATTAACATCATGATCTTAGTTTGAAACAAATGGCTGCTTGAGTCGATCGAAAACAGCTGAATACAGACCACTGCATACGGTTCAGCCTAATACAGATGTGAAGTGCCTAGCACGTAGTAAGCACTCAGTAATTCCCACTCATTCCCCTGGCTCCACTACCAAGCGCCTGGGAGTAATCTTTTTCCTAACACTGGCCTTGACAGCTGCCACGTTGCCCCCAGGCTCCTCCTTCCCCAGAGCTGCCCTCCCAGCGCCTGTCAGAAGAAAGCATTCAGAGCCCATTCACACCCCTTCCGAGAGAGGTCCGGGGCACAGCTCCTGAGCTAGGCTGCCTCTCAGGGCTCGGCAGCAAAACGCCAACTTGGACAGCAGAAAACATCTTCGGGGCAGAGACAGCAACTGCCCTCCAACCCCGCCCGCTGGCAGGGGCCCGGCCGCTGCTTGAGAGATTCCAGCCTGGCCAAGCAAACTGTCTGCCTTCTGGACTCTCCCCTCCTTGTCTTCCCTATGGGCGCCAAGAGCCCCACCGTGTGAAACTGTGCATTCCTTCTTCCCGCAGGACCCTGTGGAAGTGCAAAGGTTTCCTGTCACATAAAAAATGCAAATCGCTCTTTCTAACACACTGGTCCGGATCCCTGCACAGAGAGACCTGAAAAATAGTGAGGATCCTGGGGAATGGGACATGAGATAGCTGAGTTTGGAATGGGTCTGCAGGAAGGCTAATCGTCAGGAAAGGTCTGCAACAGACCATCAGAGGAAGGAGAAGCTTGCGGCTCACGTTTTCTACGACGTCTTCCGGTATCTGGTCCCACAAACCATCTACTCTACTTATCCCCAAAACAACCCTTCAGAATCTCTAAATGTACACAGTATGTCAAATCTATCTCAGTAAAGCTGAGGCGGGGAGGGGTGAATAAAAATCTCTCCATGGATCAGATCTCCAGGACCCACACAAACCCTGGGATCCAACTAGAAAGGCAAATGTTTATTTACTCTCATGTGTCAAATACTAGGCAAATCAATTACTATTCATGGACTGATCCACCTCACCCTCATAACTGTGATAACAATCAGTGCACACCTTTTACAGATGAGAAAACAGAGGCACAGGTTAAGTAGTTTATGCAACGTCACAAGGATAGAGCTGGGATTTGAACCCAGGCAGACAGATCCCACAGTTCATGTTCCTAACCATTGAGCCAAATGACCAGAAGCTTTATAATATTTGAACCTGAGTTTACTAAAGTCAGTGAAAACAAGTGTTTGCACGTAGACCATAGATCAGCCCAAGGGATACGCTACCCAAAGCGGAGAGACCCAAGTACGTCCATCCCACAGTGTCATGTGCCTTCAGTGGAGGCTTGGCTAGGCCTCCACGGTGGTCTTGTGCAGGGGGTCAGATGTGCCCCTGGACCGGGCAGCTCTGCTCAGCTAGCAGTGCCCTAGGAGAGGCGTGGCAGGGCATCAGGTCTTTCCCAGGCAAGAGCAGAGAGCTCCTGGGGCTGCAGGGTTGGCTGGGACCTTCCTAAGGAGCAGGGCGGAGCTGGAAGGGAACTGGATCCCAGGGATGCTAGTTTCCAGTTCCCTGAAATACCAGGCCCCTCAACCTGAGCTGCCCATTCTAAAAGCCCCCTGAAGTTCTCACCCCACCAACCCCTCTGCCTGCCTTCCTGTCCCTGCCCACCAGAAGGGGTCACCTAGATGCTCAGCGCAGGCCATCCCTTAACCTCCTCTCCTGGGACCCAGTCAGTGCCGACCACGGGATACTGGGGAGGAAGACTTATGGAGTCTTGAATATGCTGGAGAAAGCCATTCTGTGCAGCTCTCCCTCCTCCCTCTGCTCCTCTTCTCCCACCTCCCCTTTTCCCTTCTCTCTCTCCTTCTTCTAGAACCTAGATATTTGGACCTGCTGGAGGGAAAGATGGATTTACAATTCCAAGCCCACCCAGACTGGTTTTTGGCCTCCCCTCTGTTCCAGGTGACTCCTGCCTCCTCATCCTTCCTACCGACACCAGGCCCCACCCTCTGGGTGGCTTTCAGACCAGGAGCAGGGCCTGAGTCGGGCTGATGGATCACATCCCCTGAGATGCCAGGGCCGATCCCAAATCACATCCCCCAGGAACTCAGGGGGATCCCCGGGTATTTCTTAGGCAAAAACCTTGAGTCCTTTGGACCCCTCCGCTTTCCGAGAGCAAACAGGAGGGGCCAAGTGCTGCTGCCTTACAGTAATCATCGTACCTACTTATTGAGCACCGACTATGTGCCAAGCAAGTGCAAAGTAGGTGCTGGGTGCCTCCCCATCCTCTACTCCCGTAATTCTTCCAACCGCGTTTGTTTCGTATGTGCAACATGCATGCCAACCACTCCTCTAAGCAGAGGCGCTACCTCAGCAAATAAGATTTCTCCAATACAGGTTTCGTTGTTTGTACTTGACCAACGGGGGTGATGGAGGCGGAAAGCATGCCCCAAAGGGTGGAGCTGAGTCGGTTTCAAGGTGTCTGACTCCAAAGCCACAGTGCCACGTGCCCTCTGCCTCCTCTCCTCTCCACTGGAGTAGAGGGTTCATAGGTCTGAGCCAGGGTGGGGATCCCCGTCCTCAAATGCTCAGACAGTTGCTTTGGGGGAGGAGGGGTGGAGCCTACACGCCTGAGATGGCTTCAGAGGTGGAGTGCTCGGTATGTGAGTGACCCCTGGGCCAGGCTGAGTACCCAGGACCCAGGGGACACAGAAGACTGTGATTCGGACTGGGTGTCTCATGGATGAAAAGGAGGGCTGCAAGTGGGGGGCATGAGAACAGGCTTTTCAGGATGGGGGGACATGAACTGGCAGAGACGAAAGAGGGGTGAATTCAGGATGGGGAATAGGCTGCTCAGAGCCCGGTGGTGACAAGGATCTGGAGACAGCTCTGACACAAGCCTGACAAGCTGGGAGGGAGCGTCAGGCGCAGGGATGTGTGCTCCACAGGGAAGGAAAGGCAGGCTGTGGCAACTATTGATGGCTGAGGAGGTGAGACTGGAGCTAATGGGCCATCAGGAATCTCCCAGCAGAGCGATGGCAGGATGCAAATGGCGTCAGGAGAGAATTCTGACAGCGATGTGCGGGACCACGGGGGAGACATGTGGGTGTTATCACAGGAGACCCAGGAAGGGCCTGGCATGGGAGGGGGGGCTATGCTCCACCTCACGGGCCCTCCCTCCTACACACCCTCAAATCCCAGTCCCTCCCCTTCCCGCGCCTCAGCCCAGCTCTCTGTCTGGCTACAGGGCCCCCAGGGCCACAACTGTGGAAATGAGAGTTGAGAGGCCACGAGGGTGAGTGAAGGGTCTGACCAGAGAGGGGCCTGGATGAAAACGGAGTGGGTGATTTGGAACAAGGGCACAGCCAGGACCGCGGAAATGCTATTGGGTAGCATCATCTAGGGTAGGAGGAACAGCAAATCCAGGGGAATGTCAAGGTGGGCTATGCCCAGGGCCACAGTACCCCTCACAGCCCAGCCAGGCAGTGACCCTAGGCCAGCCACAGGATGATGACTGCATTAGAGAAGAATCCCCCTTCTCCACTGGTGCCTCATACTGCCTGGGGCAGCCTCTTCCTCGGGAGAAACTGGGAGAGACCCAGCTCTCGGATGGAGAAGTTACCCCCAAAGTCTGTGTGACATGACTGAGGATTTGGGGGTGGTAGCCCATAAAAACACACCTCCCCTCCCCTGCTGGACTCTAAAATTCCACACTCGCTGTCCTAGTCCTTTGGCTTAAGATTCTGTGTACCTAAGTTATTGTTTATTTTAATGGTGCCACTTTAAGTTGTTATCAGTTATCCATAGCTCAGTTATCCATTGATTGAATGAATCAATCTGATCCTTTTCCGCCGGTTCTGTTGTTGGAGATGAAGAAAAGCTTCAAACCCTGGGGTCTAGGGTAGTGGGTGGGTGGGGTGGAGAGGAGGATATTGGGGCAAAGGAGCAGAGAGAAGAGAGAATAGAAGAACAGAGAAGGCGGAGGCTGGGTATTCCTGGGGAGGATGGGGCAAAATCACTCACTTCATCATTTGGGCAAGAGTTGATCGGCAATAACCTGCGCCAAGACCCCAGGATAGCCTTTCATTACCTCCCTCTCCTGCTTGGGGCGCCCGGACCCCTGTTCCTGTGTCTTCACATCTCTTCTCAGCAACAGCCTGGAGTGCAAACTTTCCGAGATAGGACCCCAAGCCTGGCTTCCCCCCATTCCGCGGTCATCACCCGTGGCTGGGCAGGGGCTCCTGCTGGACAGGCACGGGGGGCATCCTGGAGGCAAGGACACTCTGAAAGGGGGCGCGCGAGGGTAGAGGGTCCGCGCGGCAGGAGCCGCGGGGCTCCGGGTCCAGGGGCGGGGCAGGGGGACCCGGCCAGCGGGCGGCTCACCTGCAGGACACGGTGATCTCCACCTTGGTGGCCGGGATGCTGCCCGCCAAGGAGTCGAACTCGCTCAGCGACGCCATGTCCTCAGGCTGCTCCATCGCCTACCGCGCCCCCCACCCCAAATTAGTCAATCCCTGCGCGATTCACGCCTCCTCCAAAGCGACTGAAACCCTGGGCTCTCCCCCAACTCCGGAGCCGGCGCTGGGCGGCAAAGGGAGGAGAGAGGAGCGCGAAGAGGGGGCGTGGGAAGTGAGAGAGGGAAGGGGGGCGGA